AGCACAGTAAGAGATTAACAACAAGAATTAATAATAAAATAGAACAATTGCAACAATAATATACTGTAATAAAAATTATGTGAATGTGGTCTCTCTCAAAATATCTTATTGTGCTGTACTCACCATTCTTATGATGTGAAATGACAAAATACCTCCATGATGAGATGAAGTGAGGTGAATGAAGTAGGCCTTGTGACATAGCATTAGGCTACTATGGACCTTCTGACAATGTGTAAAAAGCACTTTACAGCTTCTCTTTGGCATACCCAGACACAAGCACTCTGATACTACCACAGTCAATTTGATAACCCAGAAGGCTACTAAGTGACTAACAAGCGGGAGCGTATACAGTGTGGATACACTGACGAAGGGATAATTCACATCGCACGTAGGCCTGTGTGAGATTTCACGCCGCTCGGAAAAGTGCATTTTAAAACATATCAATTGTTTATTTCTGGAATTTTCCATTTAATGATTTTGGACTGTGGCTGACTGCAGGCAACTGAAAATGAGGGAAGCAAAACTGCAGATATGGGGGGGACTACTGTGCATACTTCCTAATGACATTGTGTGTATACATACCTGTGTGTACATATATAAATATGTACATATAAATATGTACATAACTTACGTTCCAGATCAGCCTCTGATAAGAGGGGAAACACTAGAGGCATTTCCAGCGAAGTCAAGTTCAAGGCATAGGTATGCATTATCTCCACCACTCATTATATTGGAGGTATTAGCCAACACAATTGGAAAAGGAAAAAAAACAGTTAAAGACATAATTGGAGAAAAAGAGGTAAAATTATTTTTATCTGTTGATGATATCATAGAATACCTGGAAAACCTTAAAAAAATAAAGGTAAAACTAATATAAACGATATTAGAATTCAATAAGGTACAATATAAAATCAACATACAAAAACCAATACAAAAGGAAAAAAAAACAAGATAAAAGTCTTGAGTAAATTTAGAAATCTGCAATGCTTACATGAATAAAATTTTAACACACTCCTAAAGGACTAAAAAATTAAGAGCAAACTTTAACAAATAGAATCATGTCCCTTGTTCTTGGAAAATCAATTCGACATCATAAAAATGTCAATCCTCTCCAAGTTGATATATAAGTTTAAACTGAAACATGTAAAACTAACAAAGAAAAGTTATTTTCTAGAGTAAATAAGTTTATTCTGAAGTTCATTATATAAATAAACAAAAATAGATGAGAGATTCTGAAAAAGAACAATAGGGATGCCAAGCCTTACCAGATGTATTAAAGCATACTATAATCAAACTTAGGTCATACTGGTGCATGAATAAACAGACCAATAGAACATGTTTAGTCCAAAAGTTAATCCAAGTACAAATCCAAATTCACCATATGATAAAGATGGCAATCTCAATTCACTGGGCAAAAGATGGACTTTGAAAAAATGGAACGATTGGTTAGTCACTTGGAAAAAGATATAATTGGGTCCATATCTTAAAACCATACCTCACTGGAAACTTCAGATGAATCAGAGATAAAAAAAAAAAAAAGTCAGAAACAAAGAGGGAAGGGGGAAAGGGAGGGAAGAGAAAGGAGTGGAGAGAGAAGGGAAGAGAGGGAAGAGAAGAGAAGGAAGAGGAAAGGAAGGAGGAAAAAAAGGAAGGGAAGAGGAGGAAGGGAGGAAGGAAGAAAGGGAGGTGATGGGGGAGGAGAGGAGGAAGAGAGTGAGAAAATACAGGAATACTAGAACACCAGTGAATTACTCTATAATCTGTAAGTGGGAAAAGATATTCTAACTGAATCAAAATCTAGAACCAATAAAACATCGATAAATTTAACCACAAAAATTTAAAACTGCTTGCATGTAAAAGTTAAAACTAAAAATAAGATCAAAAGGTAAATGATAAACTGAGATGAAAATATTTGGAACTTACATCACAAAGAACAAATAACTCTAATTTATGAAGAGCTCATGAAAAAGAGTATACCGGAAAATAGAAGAAAAATGGGCAAAGATATGTACATTCACAGAAAAAAAGGAAATAGTTTATAAATGTCCATAATATCTTCAATCATACTTGTAATAATAGAAATGTTTTGATTTTCTATTGCTGCAGAATAAATTAGCCTAAATCTTACTGGCTTAAAATAACAACTATTTTATTTGCTCATGATTTTAATGGTTAGAAATTCAGGCAAGGCTCAGTGAGACAGTTCTGCTCCACATGGCTGGGATGGACTGAGGGCTATCTCTCATTCTCTCCCTCATCTACCTACCTACCTAGCTACCTACCTAGCTACCTAGCTACCTACCTACCTACCTACCTACCCACCTATCTACCTGTCATCTATCTATATCATCTATCTATCTATCTATCTATCTATCTATCTATCTATCTATCTATCTATCTATGTATCTATCTATCAACCCATCTATCATCTATCTTTCATTTCCCCTCTCCTTCTCTCTCCATGTGGTCTCATTATGTGATGGCTCAGGGCTCCAAGAACAAGAAAGAGGAAGCAAGATCTCAAAATGCAGCTTTGCAAGCTGTACAGTGTCACTTGTGACATATACTATTAATCATAGTCAGTCACAGGGCCAGCCCAGATCCAAGAAAAGAAGAAATGGAATCTACCTCCTTATAGGAAACTGGCAAGGTAACTGCAAAAAACTACATGGAATGGCAACTATTGTTACGGCCATCTTTGGAAACACTATCTACCATAAAGTACAAAATTAAAACTATAAAAAAATTTTGTCTCACCCATCAAATTGGCAAAAATCTAAAAGTTGACAAGATACTCAAAAGAAATAGGCACCCTCATTATTCCAAGTGGGAATATGGTACACGTCCTGTGGAGGGGAATTGGGTAATATTACCCTTTGACACAGCGATCATAATCCTATTTCTACTTTCACAAACATGTACACATGCTCATTTCATTAACTTCACTTTTCTTGGGCCCACAAGAGCAGACAGTGGGGAAGCTTTGATTTTTGAAAATTTATTTTAAATTAGTTAAAAGCATCATCAACTGATATTCTATAAGCATTCTGGCTGGTCTTACATTCCACCTGATGATAAGCTGAGGATCTCAGAGTATATCTGATAGAGAGTTTGGTTTTGCAAAGCTACTTGATATTCTGCATATTTATGTATAGATGAGCTTCATCATCCAAGTAACTCATAAATTAATATTTAATGAAATCATTCGCCTGGATATTTCTTGTGCCTTCCTGTTAATCTCCTGAATATATTTGGTGTTGCACTTCACACTCCAAAGTCAATCACAGATTTATCAGGATAATTTTACATCCACATATATATCCCATGTACACCTGAACATAAGCAGATTTATTTCTCTATAATTATCTTCCAGAAGTCATCTGTCTCCAGGCCATGCAAAATCTTTATGAGGAGCATTCTAATTACTTATTTGAATTGAAGGTAATATTTGGGGAAATCATTGAAGCCATTTCAATCAATGTTAGTTTCAAAGGGCTAAAAAATAAAAGCCATTAGATGAATTATTTAAAAACAAAGAGGCAAAGAAATTTACCATTTAGCCATTATTTTTGGAGATATGACCTAAAAAATGAGCATAGGACATGTTATATAACAAGCATTTTAAAAGATCATTTTAAAGAACAATATAAGTGGTTATAACATGGAAATCAATCACCTACAGGATAAAATTGCTAACTTGATATTTATACACAGGTATTTTGAAGCATGGGATTTCTTATAACATTATACATGTGTAAAACTGTACCATCTCTCAAAAAACATTTCTTTCAAATAAACTTAGACAATAAGCTGACAAGCTTTGAAATCCTGGTAGGTGTCTCAAAATGTCAAAGATAAATGTGAAAATAATAGAACTCATGAGTGCGGAAGTTAATATATCATTACATGTAATTAAAATATACATGTTTATTTCATCTCTAAACTATAATATATACATTCAAACCTGAACAAATGTTTTATTGCAGTTATCCTATAGCATATTTTAGGCAACATCCATCATCAGCTCTCCCCAAATAAATTATACTAGACCAAGAATTCTCAGCCTCAGCACTAGTGACATTTGAGGCCTAATAACTCCTCTGGAGGCTGTCATGTTTAGCAGTTTTCCTGGCCTCACCTCAACTAGATACCACTACTATTCTTCTTCTTCCCTGGTTAGAAAACAAAGTGTCTCTAGACATTGTTAAATGTTCACCAGGGGGCATAATTGCTCCAGTTGAGAACCACTGCATTAGACAAATGCTTTGTCAAACATCTCCAGTTAAGTAACTTCCACATTTTTATGTCCCATTTTCTAATTATTCGAAATCTAGTTAAAATACAGGCTCCTCTTTGGAGAAAACAGTTGGTTACTATTATTACCAATAACCATCAGCTTCTCCATCAAAGTTTGTAAAAATAAGAAATTCAAGGCACTTATGTACAACTGTTATCGAGGAATAACACTGCAAAATATACATTTATCAAAATAAAGGGTTCGTAGAATCAAATTCATAAAAGACAAAGCGGTTAAAATCAATTTTTATCAGAATGGAAATATTAGATACATACAAGTATAACTACGCAGTTAGCACCCGCCTACATTCTTTTTCATTTTGCTCAAGCTTTCCTTCTCTGAGACAAACAGATCTTTTCTTCTTTCTCATTAAAGCAACTTAAATTAGCACTAATGAAGGGGAATATAAATACGGTCAATAGCAGATAATCTAAATAGCTTGATATGGGAGTACATTTAAGTTTTATTTTTTGCCTTCTAGATATAAATACAGATGGCAAAATGTATAGCTCTTGAATCTCTAAAAGACAGATTAGAGAGGTGAGTATATAATGACCTGAAGAATTTGGACCAAGGTTAAATATTCATTAAGGATAACTGTGATATTTATTTTTTTTCCTCTTTTTATCATGTGCTGATGCAATTTATATCCAAACACAATAATCAAATACAAAACAAAATGCAAGACTCTCATTTTATAATCTGTAGTTTAAAAAGAATCTCTTTATTAAACCTGTTACAGTAAGATCCATTTTTTAAAATATATAAATACAAAAGAATTCTAGGATCACCAAAAACATAATCAATGAGTGATGGTAGTTATTTTTGTTTCCTTTACATTTCTGAATTCTTTTTCTGCAATAAATGTGGTTTTTTAAACCTTAAGCAAATTCTCTTTCCACTCCCTTTTCCCACCAATTTTATAATTTATTGCCAATTAATCTTGCTTCCTGGGTTTTATTTCAAAGTATCCTGAACTTTTCTTACACTAATTTTTGTTGAAGGCATTTCCTATTGACCAAAGTTAAAATGTGACCTTTGTAAAATTTTTCAGATGAAAATCATGTGTAAAAAGCCAACTATCTTACAGTTAGATCCTCGAGTTAGGAAGTGAATACTCTATGCAACATAAGACAAACCATAGCTCTTAACATTCTATTTCCTGGTTCGACAAAAACTGTCAAATTTCTTTTTAAAAGAGTACACATATACGTTTTTAATTTGGCATTCCATATTCAGTAAAAATCAATTCAGATTTTAATTATTGTGGAATTTTGACAATTCTTGCAATGGTGAAATTTTATCTTGCTGTCACCTAGCAAAAAGCAAGTAATGTAAGATTCCAAATGTTTAACCTGGTAAAAAATGAGAATATATTTCGAACAAGAACAATCATTTAAAAAAATAGTATTGCTATCTAGTCATGAGTTTCTCATTACATTTCTGCAAGTCCTACATGTTCAGAATAAATGTAGCATTCACATAATACTATAGTCCATGAAAAGAGTATATTCTTTTATTATTTTTGTTCATACATGTTAGGTTTCAACTTTCAAAAAAATCAATAAATTTGATTCCTTAATCATAAAAACTTGTTTTACATATTATTTACATGTTGCCAAAGTCTACAGCCATACAAAACATCACAAGGATTTGACTCTACCATCGCACAGGAGGAGGAGGGAGCTATCAAGTAACATACATTCAAAGATTAATTTGTAGGTATGCACAGTGTATTTGGCACTGTTCATTAACAATATAACACCTGCATCTCTTACGACAGGCATTACTAAGCCTTAATCACGATATACCAGAATTTACTAATTCACCTCAAACCCAGCTTTCAAACTTTAATAGTAATCACTTTTAAGAAACACAACTAGAATTGGGAATGGAATTCAAATCCTCTGACTTTTGCTATGCTCCCAGCTGCCATCTATAATGTAGGTTTAATTTGATAATTTTTCCATTGTGGGAGTGTCAAGAAGAAACAATTTAAAGATAATATCTTTCCATACACATAAAGACAAACAACATTTTTCTTGAAAATAATCTGTTCTTAGGAGTGCCAAGAGAGCCCTGATAATGCTAACTAGTGATAATTTTGGCAGGAATTATAGAATGACCAATGCCATTCAAGTTGTGGAAATCATATGAACAGTTGAATTCATGAGGAAAAGGATTTGGAATGCCTATATCTGAATTGAGAATCCTTAGCAACTTGTTTTAAGGGTCTCTTCCTCGGACTATAACGGACTCAGGTCACAAGTTTAGGTTTATAACCTGATGTGTAACACTACATTGCTATAAAATGGAAAGAGAAAATAAAGTACAAAGACACAACTATTAAACCTTTAGCAACTTTGGCTACATCCTAGTGGGTTATTCATTTGACTAACTTAATTTTAACAAATATTAAATCTCTTCACTTCAATTGGGCCCATTAAATTTAATTCATTAAAGCCATACATATTCCAGAATGTTTAAAAAAGATACATGTTTATAAAAGGCATACATTCAGTCTTACACCAAGGCCAAAAAAAGCCTCAATAGAACATGAATCACAGTACAGGGCAACAGAAATAAAAAAAATTCTGTTAAAAGTTTAAAGATATGCTGTAGTTTCACACAAAACTTTTAGCAATAAGTTAAGATTTAAAAAAAAAAATTCTTACAATGTACAAAGGACTGTAAGTGCAAAGTAATGTCACTAAACCAAAATTTAGTTTAATCATTTTATTTCAAGTGTATTTTAAAAATCATAAATGGGGTTTTGTAATCCAAAGTTGAAATATTCTTCATAGCTTCAGAATTTGACAAGCAATTCCAGACCTTGTTTTCCAAATCCAGTCTTCTCTATTTTTCAGACTTCCAGGACTCCATTCTAAATGTACAATTTTAGATAACTATTATATATTTTTTGATAAGATTTTTCCGAAAACAGTCCATAAAATATGAATGGTTTCTGTCCAAAGATCAGCAGCAGTGAGAGAAGAAATACTAAAGGCATATCAAAAATCACTTATTCATTAAAAAAATAACAGAACCAGTGTTGTTCTCTGTCATAAAAGAGAACACGTGAAATTAATTTACTTTTGTAGACTTTGGTAATGTTTTATTACCTATGCAGGCCTCAATCTTACTTAAAGATCCTTTACACTAAGTCACCATTAGGATTTACTGAGTAAAAATCCTAGGTACTAACATGGCCTAAAATATGTTATTCCAAAGAGGAACAGGTAGATTACTTTTGAGGAAAAGAGCTGCCTTGGTAACTTCCCTCAAATATTTATTTTAAATAAATATAGTTCATTGAAATAATTTTTAAACCAATTTTGGGTACTATCTAGCACACTGCCCACCAAACGGAAAAGAAAATTCAAACTTTCTTTCTTTTTCTGGAAGTTTTCCACCTTTACTTTTAAGATTACAACTTTTTCACCATTTTTTGACTGCCTAATACAATATTAAAATTTTTAAAATTTGGCATTTCAGTGTTGTAAGAGTTCTTTTTCAAATGATCTTCACAACTCAGAACAAAGACACCAGATCAACACTGTTAAGTCACATTGTTTGACAATAATGATGAGATGAAAATGGACGGATATCTGAAAATAGATATTCCCTCTGCTCCAAATGGTGAGCAAGTTTTTAATAACATGTGAGTAACACAGAACTCCATTCTTCTGGAAATCCCTCAAACTCAGAATGCTTCCATTTAATAAGTCGATATATTATTTTTAAAAATTAAAGTTTGGTCACTATGAAAGACTGAAAAAAAAAATTATTCCCCACCCCCCAAAAATGACTAATTCCTCTCCCTACAAAACAGGGAAGTCATTGGGACTGAAGCCTTTAAAACTGAAATTTCAGCTCCTAAAACTGCTGCTATTTGCTCAAAGGTACAAGTCCACGTATTTCCTTCTCCAATATTTCCCCATTTATAAATGTATTTCTATACACACACGCTCATGTACACACACACGCAACTCACTCACACATACTCTTACTCTCAAGTAAGACACTTTTTTGTGTTTGTTGATAAATTATGAGGATTATGAACTAGGTGTGTATAGGGTTTCATGGGTGCTTTGTAAACATCAGAGTCACTTGGGTCCTTTTCTCCAAAAGTCTGAAATCAAATTATGCAACCAGGGATCACTACTTTCCCAGACGCTGTTCACAGGCTGCATATTGACGAAGGGCAGAGAAAAAGTCCTCATATCTGATGTTTAGGTGGGAAGGCAAAGAGCTGAAAAGAAAGCACAGGGGGAAAAAAGCAATTAGATGACATACTGTAATTTGAAGCAGGGGAACCGGAAGAGTAATGACCAAAAAGAGGTTAAGGGCAGAAGAAAGTAAATTATAAGCATAGAGTATACAAACCATCTCTATTAAATAATTATTAAACTCATTGTGAAACCAAGTAAAAAGTAATCTCTCCTTCTTTCCATAAGAGAAAAGCAACTTATAGTGAGATTAGAGATTCAGAATCTATTGAAGTGTTAAGTCTAGATTAATGCAAAACCGGAGGTCTATTTATAAAGAGCTTCACTCAAATTTGTTTCAAGAACTCATCTCTGTCACAGTAAAGCTGGTACTAGCTGAATGGTGTCTGAAAACCAGGCTTAACACTGGCAGAGCAGCACAGCATCCCCACATGATAACTGAAGCCATGTGGTGAGTAATCAACAAATGAATGATATTTATCTCCACCATTTCCAACTGCTCAAGAAGACAATTACAATGTGAAAACAAGTACTTTAAAGGCAGGGTGAACATAGAGCCAGAGGGTTCCCCTTTAAGTATTTCAAACACTTAGATAATTTACAATAATTAACATTTTTTTAAGTCACTAATTTATATAGCTTTATTGTGAGGCTTTAGAAATTCCAAACAGCATCAGTGTCAAACACCTGATCAGAGTACAAGACTCACATTTAGAATTCTACAATCACCACAAAAAAGGGATTCAACAAACCTACCATGAATGAACTCCTCCCTGATCCTATGGTTCTCTTTCGCTACACTTTCTTTATCTTTCCTTCCCTGCCCCCAGCTTCACTGAGATATAATTGACAAATAATCTTTATTCTTCAACTACCCAAAACTCTGAAACAAGTCTCCCATTTCCCATCATTTTCTTATCTATTAATAATCTCTATATCAACCTTTTATCTTATTTACTCTACTGAAATGATATCCTCAAAGGAAAATTTAATGATGTTCTTCTCACTAAAGCTTGCTTCAAATGTCCCCTTCAAACTACTCACTTTCCTAAGTCTTCCTCATTTTACACCCCCATCATCAACAGTCTCATCTATCACTCCTCAAGAAGCACTTAGCACCACCACCCCTCAGTGCCTCAGGTCTTGCTATGTCCCAGATAGGGACATAGGGTTCTGCCATTCTAATTTCCTGTATTATGATTAAGACAGTTTTCCTGCCATCACGGTGCTTGCAGTCTGGTAGGCAAATACAGAGCAAACCTCAATATAACATAGAGCTATGACAGACATAAGTACAGAGTTCCATGAGAAAGCTTATAATGTGTGAGGTATCTGATGTCCATTATCAGATTTAAATCCTCAACTCTGTATTTAATTGTCCATTTTACAAATACAGAGAAGTTTAAATAGCTTTCTAAAGTCATGTTATTGAGCTGCAGAGCAAAGATTCAAACCAAGATCTGTTCTGAAACACACTCTTCCCTCCAAACCACTGCCAACCTCAAAAAGTATGATGGCTACCTTTCTTGGATCCCAAAGGCACCCAAAACTACCTGGAAAATCCCTAGAGAAAAAGAGACAAGAGAAACACAGGCCACCATAAGGAAACCCAGAATTTGGAGATCTGAGTTGTAATTCCACTTTGTTACAAGCTTGAGCAATGTCTCTTCCTCATCTTCCTCACCTATAAAATGAGGAGGCAGCACCAGATGATCTATCTACAGCATTTTCTGACTCTAACATGCTACGTGTTCTTTTCTGCCTCTTTATTTGACACCTTTCCCCGCTCCAGCCCTGAACCTGAACTATTTAATCCCTTGGTATTATGCTCTTCTATGTATACTTTAGAGAGGTCTTCTATTTTCACAGGTTCATTTACTTCTATTTCCTAGGTACTGACAATTCCCAAATGTTCATCTTTAGTACTGACTTCTCATCCGAGCACCAATTCTCCATTTTCATCTACCTTCCTAAGTGTTTCCATCTAAACAGACTATGGACTCAAATGCATCTTATTCCTGAATTCAACATCTTCCCTTCAAAAATCAATGCTCCCTTGACTTTTCTGACTCTCTCAATAACACAATAATTCGCCCAGTCACTTAGGCTTAAAAACTTAGGAGTCATTTAATTTCTTCTCTTTTACCACAATTAGTAAAGGGTCAGGCCTGCAATTATACTTGTTAATTACTTCTCATGAGAGACAGAACTTGTAGTATTCTCCTAAAGCCAGAATTTAAATATATTTTAAGGCTCCTAATTCTCTCCTTTATTTTAAATCAGCCAAAGGGAAATAGAGTCCAGAAGCCAGCCCCTGTTTTTGTAAATAAAGTTTTGTTAGAACACGGCCACACACACTTGTTCACATATTGCCTGTGGTTGTTTAGGTTTACTAGCAAATGAATAGTAGTAACAGAGAGGAGTAGCTGTAAGAGACTGTAACACCCCACAAGGCCTAAAATATTTACTATCTGGCTCTTTACAGAAAAACTTACCAAACTCTCTTCTAAATAAACAATTTCATTCTCATCACTGTATTCTCCCCTAAATTTTAGCTATGGCCTGTTCACTTGTATTTTATCTCATTCTTTCCCAAATCCCAATCTATTCTAGTACACAGTTACCAAACAAATCTTCCAAAATTACCATTCCTGCATTATCCACAGGCTCAACTGTTTCCTACTGCCTGTCTAAACGATTATACATATTCCTTATGCTAGAATTTAAGCGTATTTAAGCATTCCCAATGCTTATGCCTCCAAACTATTTGATTTCACCTCATACTACTATCTAACACTAACTCCCAGCTCTGGTATGGCTGGTTCCCTCATTATTTCTTTAAACTGTGTTGTTCATTCCCTCTACCCCACTCCCAGCATTTCTATTTTCCCTGTCCATATCCTATACTTCTCACCATTCCTCTAGTTGCAAAAATTCCACCCATTTTACATACTGCAGATCAAGTCACATCTTTTCTGCATAATCAACCACTCTGGCCCACAGAGATTATCTCTCACTCTGGATCTCCTATGACAATTGGTGTCAATACCAAACATTCACATGACCACACACTCTCTTGTGTCTGAGTCATTCATGTCTTTATTTTACCACTGATACTGTGAAATACCTGAGGGAAAGGATCCAGTATTATAATTTTCTGGGAATTTCCACTATACCAAGTACAGTGCTGGGCTCAAGAAATACCTGCTGATCTACGGCCATGTACCCTGAACAAGCTTGATCCCGTCTGATCTCAGAAGCTAAGCAGGGTCAGGCCTGGTTAGTATTTGGATGGGAGAACACCTAGGAAGACCAGGTGCTGTAGATGTAAAACATAAAAAAAAAAAGAGAGATTGTAATAAGCTGACAAGGTCCTTGCAATCTGTGAGGTCAACCAGGGGTGGCCTCACCTAAAAAAAAAAAGAAAGAAAAGAAAAAAAAAAGAAATACTTGCTGTATCGAACCAAAGTCAATATATTTTTAATTACTTACATAATCTCAGTCAATCTGATGTGCCAAGGAAGATAGCCTAATGTGCTCTCCACAGGACCAAACTTCAATACCACATCAGGATCAGGGAAACCACTGGAATCTTGGAAAGAAAGAAATACATACCAACTTAACATGCACTGTTTACAAGTAAAATGACCAGGGGCAAAATCTGTTCATCAAATTGACCTCTTATGCTTTGGGTATCAGTTCTCTTAAGACACTTTACTTGTATGTTTCCATACCCCCATCCTACTGCTCAACATATACTTTAATATCTATGTTATTTCTAAATGTGGAAGTCTTCCCTAAAGTCCACTGAACTGGATTACCTGATAAAGAGGAGAAATCCAACTCCTACCCTAAACTCTACAGATAGCCCCCTAATCCCATCTATCTTTCAAGAGTCAATTTGTTAAGTGTTCTCTTGGCATCCTGGGAACCAAACTGCTCTAAGAGTACAAATGCTTACTCTGGCCCCAGAGTCAAATAACTTCAGATGAAAAGAGACTTAAAAAGTATCCACTCTCCTTCCTTCCCCCATGTCCTTCATTTTATAGCTAAGGACCCAGAAAGACCAACTTCCAACGATACAGTACAAATATTCTCAGTGTTCCTCAGCGCCTGAGCCCCCTACAAGGGTTAAAGACTGTACATCTGCCTCGACAAAGGCATGGCCATTTTTGGCTTTACAAACTGGCTTCCATATGAGACTTAACCTTGAGAAAAAAAAAGGAATAAGGATAATTGATATATTTTAGAAGAGTAAAATAAATCTTAAAATAAGAGTCAATGGTATAAGAAAAAAGATACTATAATCCAAGAGACCCAGGTTCCAACATTTTCTAATAACCTCAGTTCTGCCACTAACTTTCTTGTCACACAACTTCTTCAGGGCTTAGTTCCTTTATTTTTTAAATAAGGAGACTAGGTTGCATAGGCCCATCCAGTAGAAATAAATAATTATTTTAATAACAAAGTCTCTTTAAAAGTCTATGTTGACAGAGTGAATGAACTAAGTAGAATAACACACATTCCTCTGCCTGCTGAAAAAGCAAATTCTCTTCAGTAAAGAAAATAACAAGAAGGGGCTTCCACCTAATAGTAGTATGAAGAAGGTGATGAATCCCCTGGAAAAAAAAAAAAAAAAGAACACAAAACCATGTATTAAACTAGACAACACCAATCACGTAAAGGTACTGGATGTTAACCAGAAGAAGACAATTATTTTTTAAAAACAAAACAAAACAAAAACATCAGCTACAGCTTCAGATTGAGAATGGTAAGAATTTCGGCCTTATTGCCTTCTACCCCCAATCAATTAGAGAGAACTGCAGTTTTTAACAGCACAGGATGGACAGCAAAACTGGCAGGTTTGATGCTTGTAGCCAAAAGATATGGACCCAATTTGGAATTGGAAGTTGTGAGCAGGAGGGAGGGGGCAGTGGTAAAAACCTTCGATTTTGCAAGCTAAAAGTGACAAACTCAAAAGGGAACAAATGAGGAAAACTCAGTTTTGCTCTTCTGCAGTTGGAGCCCAGTTAGAGCAAGCAGTACAATGGCCAGAAATTTAACAGGGAGATCCTGGAAATAAGGACTCAGATAAGCTCTCCACACCTCCAGGACCAACAGGAAAGCTATACATGCAAAGGAGGAAGGACGATGGGACAGGGAGGGGAAGGGTAACACAGGGTGGCAAGAAAGCCCAGTGAAAAGTAATAGCCAAGGAGACTTGGGAACTGACTTGAATGCACTCTCCTATATCACACAGAGATTTTAGAAACTTTACAAACTCAAGGTGTCTACGCGCAATCAGTAAGCAAATCATTGGCTGATACATTAAACTGTGGACACGGAAAGCCAGACTAAAAACATAAAATTAAAAGTAGAAAAACTGAGCAGAGATAGGAATAATCGTCTTTGTTTACAGACAACATGACCTTGTATTTAAAAAATCCTAAGACTATAAAAAGAACTATAAAACTGTTAAGTATTTAGCAAGGTCGCAGGATACAAAATCAGTATTAAAAATCAATTGTATCTTCATGTATTATCAACAAACGATCCAGAAATAAAATTAAGAAAATAATCCTACTAACCATAGTATCAAAAAGAATACTTAGTAATAAATTTAACAAAAGAAGCAGAAACCCTGTATCCAAAAATTATAAAACATTGTTAAAAGAAACATTAAGACTCAAATAAATGGAGAGATACACTATGTTCATGCATTGAAACTCTCAATATTGTTAAGATGGCAATTCTCCCCAAACTTGAGCTATAGATTCAATTCAATCCCTATCCAAACACTTTTGGGGGGGGTGGCGGGGGGGAGGAGGGGGATTGCCAAGCTGATTCTAAAAAGTGTATGAAAATGCAAAGGACTCTGAGCAGCCAAAACAACTTTGAAAAAGAAAATCTAAGTTGAAAGACTTAGCGTTACCTGATTTCAGAGCTTACTACATACAGTAGGCTCCAGTAATCAAGACAGTGTAGCATTATAAGGACAGAACATAAACCAACGCAATAGAATAGAAAGCCCAGAAATAAACTCAAAGATTTATGATGAACTATTTTTCAACAACAGAGCCACAGTAATTTGGGGGAGAGGGGGGCAGTTAGGGGTAGAAAGAGAGTTTTTAAATAAATGGTAGTGGAAGGAAAACTGGTATTCTGTACCCTACACCATTCACAAAAATTGGGTTAAAATGGATGGCAGACTTAAATATAACAACTGAAGTTATAAAAATTCTAGAAAAAAAACACAGGAGAAAATAATTGTGGCTTTGATTAGGCAAAAATTTCTTAGATATGACACCAATGCATGATCCACAAAGGAAAAAACTAACAAACTGGATTTCATCATAATTAAACTCTTTTTTAAAAAAAGAAAAGGAAAAAGAAAAGGCAAGTCTTGGCCTGAGAAAATGAAAATATTTACAAATCATATGTATTATCGCTGATACAAGATCTCTTAAAACCAACCCACTTATAGGACAAATAATCCATTAAAAATAGGCAAAAGATTGAACAGACACTTCACAAAAGAAACAAATGAAAAATTAGCATATGAAAAATGCTCAATATCATTAATCATCAGGAAAATATAAAACAAAACCACAATGACATACTATTACACACCCAACAGAATGGCTAAAATGAAAAACAACAACAACAATAAAACAACTAATATTATATCTTGGCAAGGATATGGAGAATCTAGACTACTTTACTTTGCTGGTGGGATGTAAAATGGTAAAGTTTTGTAGTGTCTTAAAAGTTAAACATTCACTCTCCACACAACCTAGCAATTCCATTATAAATTATCTACCCAAGAGAAAGGAAAACATGTCCACACAAAGACTAGGTATGTAAATAGTCACAGCAACATTATTCAAACAAACCAAATGTAAATCAACTGATGAATGAATAAACAAAATGTGGTATATCCATAAAATAAAATACTATTCAGCAACAAAAAGTAATGAACTACTAAAATACTAAAACATGCAATATGGATAAACTTCAAAAACAGTATGCTGAGTAAACATAGCAAGATATAAAAGACTATATATTATATAATTCTATTTCTAGAAATTTCTAGAAATTAACTTTTCACTTATCATGGGTCTACAACCCCTGAAGCAACACCTGGGCGCAAGACTTTAGCACTTCTCCACAGGCTGGCTACCTGAAGAAGCACCTATGGTCTCTGCATCACTTTTAAGATATCCTCACAAATCACTCTCTGGTTGAGGCCTTACAGGATCCAGGAAACAGTCAACTTCACAGTATCCTCTGACCAGAGAGCCCTTACAATGGTCTGCTTTAAGCCTTTTCATTCAGCTTGAATCCAGTTAGGCAATGACAGAGTAGAAAATAGAAGAGTAGGGTAAGAAACGAGTTGGAAATAAAAGTATGAAGTTAGTGAGACCAAAATGCCAGAGAAGGACTGTGGTCTGTGATAGACATGTGACAAAGTGGAGCAACAAAAAACGGGAAGTTAAATAAATAAGACAGAAAATCCATGATTAACAACTAAGGTAAATGTAGACTTTACTGAATAAACAAAAAAATGTCTGAAATTGTATAGCTATAGAAGTTATCGATGGACATAAATTTGTTAGAATATTGCTTTTCTCCAAAAAGATCAAGGATAATGCTATAAACAGAAAGACTATAAAGTTCCCAGGGAACTCTAGAGAGAATTAGAAACTAAAGGCTTTTACATAAACGGTTGAAGAAAAATAAATAAAAATGTTATATTTGATTTACCATAACAAATATAGTGGTATATTCAGTATACCATAATAGAAGGAACACTACGAAAAGAGTCATTGATGACAGTAAGAGTATATTCCTGCGACTGCTTTCTAAATAGCTATTAAGTTCACATTTAACAGAGTGTTCAAACTAAAAAGAAAGAAGGAAAGGAGTGTAATATTATAATAAAAAATATATACCTGGTCATTGTCCCAGTCTCCTGGCACAGAGCTCCAAAAACCCTTGGAATTTCCCGAGTGATAGGGGTAAAGACAATATCTGTGAGCCATTCTAACAAATTATCAAACCTTAGGAGGAAGTCACAGGAACTCCCTATTTATAACCAGTTGATCAGAAGTACAAATGACGAGAGAATTGCAACTGATGTGTGAAGTGGGGGCAGTCTTGTATGACTGAGCCCTTAAAGCTGGTAGAGTCTGATACTAACTCTGGGTAGTTAGTATTGGAATTAACACACAGTTCGTGTTTGGAGAATTAGAAAATTCATTGTCAGTGTTGGAAAACATCCCAGAAGGAAGAAGGCTGACAGGTAAGAGTCTTCTTTTTAAGAATATTCATTACTACCCCCGCAAAATTCTCTTAGGTCCTTGCCTTTACCAGTAAGTCCTCAGGCAAAGGAGTTGACTATAAATTTTACTGTCTCAAAACCATTTTCACGTTGGGGTCTTTAAAATTCAGAAACATGACAAGTATAACAACAACAACAAAATCAGGTTTTATAAGCAAAAAAACATATTCTACTTCATATTGTATATTTGTGGGATGAAACTAAAAATGAATATATAAAACTTACTAAGTAAACTGTCTAACATATGTACATCCAAATCTGTGGATTTCTTTTGCTGCTGGGCTACTAACTGGCAAAATTCCTGAGCAGCTCTCACGATATCTGCTTTTCCATCTTCTGGGGACAGGACCTTCACTGCCGACTGGCAATTTAAAACTGGAGGAAAACACAAATGAGACATTAAAAACACTCTCTTCCAAATATATTTCAAAATCTGTTTCAAGATATATAAGTTCAGAGCAAAATAAAGGTACAGTTGTTGTAGTAAACAAGAGTCTTTTAAGGCCTTCAAATTCCACATCAAAAGATACTTAAGCTACTCTTCCTCGAAAGGACCCACATGTCACATTTGTTTATATATTTATATACTGCCTTCTTTTCAAAGTATTCAGAATGACCTTGTATCTGTGAGTAAATCCTATAGAAAATAGGAAGTTTAAATTATAGGGTAAATTATAATTTTTACAAGTCTAAAACAGCATCTACAATCATATTACAGTTAACAGTACTATGGGATAGAAGACAAAAATATGTGGTTCAATGGAATATTATCTACAGCACATACCCACTTTATCAAATTCTATGATTCTATCAAAACTAGTTTACAATTAATAGGTTTCTAGGTAAGTAATAGCGATGCCAAATTCTACAGAGATTCTCTCTAACCCCACATAAAAACCATTTCAATATTTCTAATCTAGAAATGTGTCTGTTCTTTGGATTCTCTTTTGAACCAGCTATAAAATCTGCCTGGTTCATGGTGGTTATGAGTTGAATAAAATCTTTAACATTTGTTTATTGCTCAGTATCTATGAAAGTCATGATTTTATCTTTTTTCTGAAAATTATCTTTTAACAAGATGAAAAAAGTCTAAACCTGATGATTAAAGATGGTGACAATAAAGACTAACAGGGCAAAATCTGGGAGTGAATAAATGAGTGATAGAATTTGCCTTGAAACACAAAACACATCTGTCCCTGTTACATATTCAATTTATATTCATGCTTACCTTGATCGTCTTTGTCATTACTATTTGCAAATTCTGTCGAGTACTTGGAACAATCTAAGCCCAGAAGTTCCTGCTGTTGTTTTAAAATTTCATCCATCAATCTGGAATTGTTTCTTTTGAAAATACCTTAAAAAAAAGGGCAAGTAAATCTCAACTAGGTTAATTTATCCTCCTTAATAATTAGTGGATGATTGTTGTGAAAACAACAATGAACCCAGAACTGAATAAATTCCAAATGAAGTAGTGATGACTAATTCTAACCTAGAATCTGAAAGGAAAATATTAAAAACAAAACTTTGCCAATAACACAAGCCTGGCTTCAGGCTAAAGTTGAAAACAAAACAAAACATAACAGGGGTAACTATTTAGTGTCAATATGAACATGATAGAAATTTAGACCTAGAAGGAAATTTTAAGAGATCATTTATTTGAGATCATTTACAGAGTAAGAAACTGAGACCCAATGTCCAAAAATGCATAAACTGCAGCAGTGGTCTAGAGTCCGTATCTTCCTGACTCCCAGTCTCCTGTAATTGCCTGCAGATTTATGATGTGCATTCAAAACTATTACCTCAATTTGATTAGTTTTCTTAATGATAAGAGGGTCTAATATGAATTATGTAAAAAGTAGAAAATAGAACAAAATTTAGTAAATTCAACAAAGTATGGAAATATACCACTTAAAATTGTTTTTGATCTTGCAACGATGCACAGAAAAGTTAACTATCATGTCATTAAGGAGGATGAAGGAACCAAGTGACATATATTTAATATAAAACTAACATAAAGAGCTCTAACTAAAAACAAACATCAAGTTTTTGGCTGTTTTCAGAGAGGCCAACCTTATAGTGGCCATTGCCTTTTTGGCCTTTATCAAGTGTTCCTCTCAGTCAGACACGATTTTAAAACAGTTCAAACATTAACTAAGAGAGAGAACATAGCACAGAATCTGAATATGTTGTATACAAATGTCAACTTGGTAGTGTATGTGTAATAGCAGTTCAAAGATAAAAGCAGTCTCCTTTGGTAGGAAAAGGCTTTGTAAAATAAGCAAGTCTCGAGCTGGGCTGACCTCAGAAAATTAAAGAGAAGAAAATGGAAAGGATATTTAGATGGAGAAAATGCTTTAAAAAGAACACTGACTGCTCAAAAGACAAATGCTGCTGGTGCAAAGGATCTGAGAAAAGAGGCAACAAGATAGACCTAACTTTTATTTCATTTCACCTACTCAAAGGGTAACCAATAATTTCTGAGTAATGTGGAAAGGTGTGGAAATTCATTTCTTTAGAAATGTACAGAGTACAGAGAAAGCAAGGCAGCAGACTACTGTAGTAGTCCATACATAATTTGATTAATCAATGGAAAAGGTGTCACTACAAAAGAGTCATTCCAAAATGATAGAATAAAAACATGACTTAACTAGAGGCGAACACAGAAAACTCCATGGCTTTAATCCTGGGTAACAGAAAATGCTACCTTTTTTTTAAAGTAGGGAAATTCTATAAAGAGAACTAGTTTCAAGGAAAAGATTAGTTCAACATAGCTGATGACAGAACAGTTAGGTCACAGTTTACTGTAAAAGTGATTAGAAACATGAGAAAAGGATGTTCAGAAGAGGTCGTCATATAAGAACCATGTGGGGAAGGCTGTGGGGAGTTTTTCCTTGTTTCTACCACCCTGCTCTTTTTAATAATTGTACATTATCAGTGTATTTATTTTACCTGCTCATCTTCTAAACTGATGGGCCCTGTAGTTCATTCTCATTGTTAGATTTTTGCCTCCTATAAGTGTACCAACCTGCAATAAACTCTTCTTATTGAAAAAAGTAAAAAGAACCATGTGAGTAGGAATCTTACCTATTCTGCTTACTAGGGGCTAACACAGTGCCTGGCACAGAACAAGACACTTAACAAATAAACATCTGCTGAAAGGAGATGACAGGTCAGAGACTAGCTAGAGGACTGGGAAAAGGCCTCTTTAGGGTAAGTGAAATTTCAGCCGGCCCCTGACGAATCAGGAGTTTTACAGGTGTGGGCCTGGGCAGGTTAACATAAAAATGGAGGATAGAAATGTAGATATACATTTGGAAGTCATCCTCCTTAAGGTGATTACCATACACACAAAAAAAATGATGATTTCCAAAGGTAAAGTGTATCCATGGAGAAGAGCAGAGGTCTGAGGATGTGGCTCCTTATGAAAGTCTGCGATCATTAAGACTCTAAGTTGGGAAAGATAAAAGTGAACATTTTATAACACCCATATCCTGAGCAAGATTAAGCAAACGAAAAAAATTCCCAAAGAAAATTCTTGAAGGTGATTAATATCAGGAGTTATTTGAATAACAATGTTTAGACTAATCCTTGTGTAGCAAAACAGATGTACAGAATATAATCACTAACTTCAAGTCAATCATAAAATTCACATGTATGATACAAAAACAGCATGTAAATATATGATACAAGCTTATAACTACGCAAGTAAAGGAAAACAAATAGTTTAGACCACGCTTTGGTCTATGTTGAAGAGAGAAATTGTGGAAGGTATATGAATTTCAAGATTTTCTTAATTTAAAAACGTAAACTCTCCACAGCACTATTTATAGGACATGAGTTTATAAAAAATAAAACGTTAAATCTATCTGTCACATGAACTAAGATTTATTCATTTTAATAGTAACTCAACACTAGGAATCCTTGCTTTTGTCTATTCACATCACAAGGCCTTTGCCTCAATTCTCACCAATTCACTCTTTTACCTTCTCCTCTGGATTAAAATGGGAAAGCTTTTCGGGAACTCTTGCTCTAAGGCGATGGATGACAGTCTTCATCAGCAAAATGGTCACTATCTCTTCTCAATTTTTCCTTCTCGGCATTTCTGAAGCATTGCCATTAATGACCACCCTGCTTCCTTCTCAAAATTCTATCCTCATTCAAAATTATGTAAATGACCTCTTCTGGTTCAACTCCCAATCTGTTCCTAGAATGGCCTCTTCTCACTTTGCGCTGAATCCTTTCCTCTTCTACCTCTAAATGGGGATTACTCCTCAGAGTTTCTACCTCAGCCTTCTCCTTCTGTCCAAGTGCTCCTCTTTCTCTGAACTTAGTTACTCATGGGAATTTTAAAACCACACAGGACCAGGACAAGGGTAAGATGGGTGAGACAAACTTTAAGGGGTGTCAAAAACTCAGTAATTAAGATAAATAAAAATAATGCATTATCTTTAAAAACTTAAAATTAATGCAAAACATCCATGATGATCATTAAAATTTTAACTAAGAACAGGATCAGCATTTGGTTCCTAACAGTTCCAGTTCATCTGAAACATCTAACCCTACCCAGAAATTCTATAAGCATCTGAAAATGAACAAATCTAAAACTTGGCAGCTTCTCTTTTCAAGCTAGGTCTCAAATACTTATACTACATCAAGTTTAAAAAAATACAACAGTACTGTAACTGTGAAACTTATATGTACTTATAGACAAGGCCTGGAAGAAAATAGGCAATATGAAAATAGTAAATGTATAAAGGTAATGGGACAAAGGTGATTTAAAATCATAACTGCTGGAAAGCCATTTCTATAATTAAAAACAAAGCAAAACCATAGCTTTTCTTCTTGTTCTATTTCTAATAAAGGCATCACTGCCGGCCCAGTCACTCGGCCATTTTCTCTGCTCTCTAGCATTATCGCCAGCACCCACCTGTGCCCGTTAATATGCTGAACCCATATGCTCTTCTACAGCAATGTTTCCTGTACTCATTTCCTTTTGTCCATTGTCCCTACTGTTTCAAAGCAACAGTCTTCTTTATAATATCACAACCACTTTCTAATGGGTCTTTCCTGCCCCTTCTCATTAGACTGACTACAAGATTAATTTTCTTTGGGTACATCTTCAATCCTGGAACAGTCCAACTTTAATATCTTCAATGACTCCCAAATGCTTAACGTATTAAGAACAAGCTGCTCAGATCAGCATTAACATTCCAGCCAGGCTTCCATACTGGTGGGTGGAAATAATTTACATTTATGAAATAAATGAATCTTTCTATTTCTCTATAGTACTCTAACCACAGCAAATTTAATTGTCTTATACTCCTCCAAAAACACAGTGAATCTAGTCTCCATCCTTTGGTATGTTACCTACCCAGCCCCATACCTGTGAATTCTCCTAATTCTTCACAGGTCAGCTGAAATTTCACTTATCCTCAATCGCTCAGCCAGATGTGCCCCATTTCTCTGACTGACCCTCACCCCCTCCAAATACATTTTGTTCAAACTCCTTAATAAACCAATATTCTTTTTATAATAGTTATAGCTTAACCCCCTACTAAACTGTATTCTTAGTTGTGAACTTGTGTCTTAGTCATCTCTTTTCCCCTAAGGCACCTTCCATTTGGCAGGAGTTCAATGTTTATTTATTAAACTGAATTATCAGTGCACAAAATGTTACCTAACGACAACAAAAACTAAATGGACATGTCACCGAATGGAATTTTTAAAAAGTTTTCAGGGACCTCTCACAATAAAAGTAGACAGTTCCTTATTGCACACAGGCAGAAATTGTTAAAAAGAAAGATTACACAGAGGTATAGTTACAAGTATCTTTTAAAAGAAGACTTTCATAAAGTAATTTTAAACAGACCTTTGCCTTGGCTGATTTGGATGAAGAGATGAATTTTAAAAAGTATAGTTTCTGAGATATGCTAAATGTGTAGATAAGACAGATTATCAGTAAGATGATTCTGATTATCCCATAGCCTGACCCCCATCCTAAAATCTGATTATACTCAATGATACTTATCTCACTTACCTATAAGCAACATTATCAATTTACAATTTTCTTCAGGACTCAAAGTCTACACATAAACACTTCTCATGATACACAAGAAAGGCAACAAAATATAAGTGTGACTTTGACTGAATAGGCAAATCCTCTAGCAATATCATTGTTTATGTGGAGATTCTTTTTCTCATATCATAATTCATCTTTTTTGCCTTCATAGAAGCTCAACTAAAGCCAAAATGAAATAATAAAAGTAAAGAATCTGTCACAAAAGTCCTTTTATGTAAAAGGCACTTCGAGACTACACTCAGGAATAACAGTGATCTAAGAGAAAAACGTGCAAG